GGTGGCACCTGGGGCAAAGTGGAGACAGCAAGCCCCATCTAGAGGGGCAGCCATCACTCAGCCCACCAGAGGGGGCTCTGCAGAAATACGGGCCCTTTTTTTGTGTGTGCTTTAAGTGAAAGTTTACTATTCAAGTTAGTGTCTCATACAAAGATTTATACACACATTGTTATGTGACCCTAGTTGCTCTCCCTATACTGTGACAGCATATTCCTCCTTTCCTCTGCAGATTTCCCGTGTCCATTCAACTAGCTCCTGACCCTCTCTGCCTTCTCATCTAGCCTCTGGAAAGAAACTGCCCATTCAGTCTCATGTATCTACTTGAACTATGGAGCACACTCTTGAGGAGTATCATTTTGTGTCTTATAGTCCATCCCCATTTTTTTAAGAGAAGCTGGAAATCCAGATTCTTATGCAAAGTTTCGTATTTTTAATAGTGGCAACAAATACACATTTAAAAATGTACATTAAAATGACACTCACCCCCAACTCCCTCTTAAATTTGGAAACAGGGAAACAAGGCCTGTTTATCCTATGGTTTCAAGTGTCTAGGAAAGCAAGCAGCCCCGTGGGGGGAGCCTGAGGGGCTTGGGTGGGAGAAGGCTCTTAAATTCTGGGTTGAGATACCCGGGCTGGCACACCAGGCTGTTTCAGAGCAATTGCTGCTTCTAATATTGGCTCCAAACCATCAAAAAGCTGAAATCATGCTCAGGAAATTATGACTGCACTGAATTATACTCCCTGTACTCAATTTAACAAGACAGGCAGATGGTAAAAATGTTTTATTAAATACATCCATCAGACATGGTTAAAATGTAACAGTTCTGGCATTTAAGGACTCTTCCTTAAGACACTTACCAAGAAGTTAGGACACCTCAGGTAGCCCAGGGTAAGTAAGCTACAAGGCGGCCATCTTCCTCCCGTATCTGGGAAGAGCCTGGCTAACGATCCCAGTCAAGACACAGCCCTGACCTCCAGTGGCTGGTTGCAGGAGGCCGGGCAAGGTGCTTCCCCTCTGCTCCTTGGTTTCCCCATCTCGGAGTGGAGATATTTCACGTTCTCTGATTGTTCTATGCCATGGGCTTCATTAAAGATTTCATTAAATGATGAATCACAGCAAACACTTATACAGGGCTGACTCTGCGCCAAGCACTGGTCAGAGTATTATGCAAGTGTTAGCTTATGTGTTCTCACAGCAGCCAGTAAGATAAGCATCATTATTATCCCCATTTTAAGGACGGGGAAACTGACACCCAGGGAGAGTGAGCAATGTGTTCTGTGAAGAACAAAGTGAGGACCCAAACCCAAACAGTCTGCCTTCAGGGTCTACGACCCTCCCTACTCTCCAAGGACCCCTCGGTGGAGAAAGGCTTTGAAAACCATAAGGCTAATGCACTCCGCTAACTGAAAGGCTGGAAGGTCGATACCACCCACAGGTGCCTTGGAAGAAAGGTCTGTTGATCTA